GTAACACCTATAGTAAAATCAATAAATTTAGAAAACCTTCAGGACAGAAGACTCAAAAGTAAAGTAGCAATTATACATAAAACACTGAACCATAATCTTCAAATACAAAAACAAAATTTAATAAAATACTCTGAAAGACACAAAGATAATGGCACATTCCTTGTCCCATATGCTAGGACAAATTTGTACAAATACTCCTTCTTCCCTAGTGCTATTAGAGCATAGAATGGGTTGCCTGAGCTAGCCAGGAAAACCAGTGACTTGGCAGAATTTAAGTCATTGGTTAGTATGCATGACTAAATGCATGACGCTTAGGACGTAATCATCTTCTTTTTTGAAGTAACGTCTGTATTATATTAGATAAGACAATGTTTTTATTAATGTTTTTGTTTTCTTTAGGAGCCTCCCTCCTGCTCACGTTAATCCTCACAGACCTGGTCCTAGGCCTGTGGCCAAAAGTGTTGTAGGGGAAAGTTCTGTGATTGAATCTCATGCTGGTAATGGTAAAGCTAATAGTGCTCACCCTAACAGCAGTTCTTCCCTGTTGATTGGAGCAAGTGATGCCAACTCTGTCATTGGTTCCTCTCATCATCATGCTCAGCATGTAACTAGGTCAGTTTGTGGAATGACATCTTCATTTTCTTAAGATCTTGAAATCATTGTTTTTCTACATATACAAAGTTTCTTTCTTTTTTCATTCAATTAGATGAGCAGTTCTTGACTTTTTATTTTTAGAATCATTACCTCGTTTAATATAGCTAAATTTAGAAAAATGGGATGACAAATGACCATACAATGTGGAGTAATAATCATGGGACATTGATGCTGGGATACCCTGGACATTTGGTTTTGGAGGTTCCATTTTTTCCCTCTGGGGTTACCTACTACAATAAAAAAAATTGGGATATCGGTAGATCAAGAACTAAAGTTTTATTCCCAGATTTCTAATTCCAATTCATATAATTGTTGTCAGAAGCCCCAAAAAAATCTCAAGTCCAGTTTACTCAGGTCCAATTAATTTAGCCACAAAAAAAATGTGGATATGCCATGATACAAGACTTTCTCTTAATATGATCAATTTAGTTTTTGCCTCCAAATTAGCTTTCCTTAAAGAATTAGTCAAGATGCATTAGTCTAGGTTTGTTGTTGATAACAAGTGGTTTAAAACACATGGAGAAACACTATTTAGAAAGGAACTTGAACACTCGTCTTATGGTGAAGATTCACACTCTAGGTCCAGGTCTAATTCTCATTGAAATTAGGTATAATTTTATATACCTGTTAAAGCGTCTATGGTTTAATTGAAAACCATTAAATATTTATTTATTTTTTTAAAAATCTGATTTATGATATAGATAAAGTTAGATCTCTAATGAGCCTATACACTAATATGGACATAGCATAATGTTAAGTATTGTGTCAAAATTAATAACCTAACTCTTAATAATTACTTGTGGAAAGTATTAATGTAATGTAATGAGGGACATTAAAGTATTGACTCAAGTTGGATGCTTTATAGGAATAAGTAAGACATTGCCTTACTATTAAAAACTTGAAGCTAAGAGAGTGACATCAATGAAATGACTTTTTGGGGAATGAATTAAAAAAAACAACTAAATTTACAGTAAAGGTCCAAAAGGATTGCATGAAATCTCCTTGACTACTTCGGATCACCATAAGTTGTATCCATCAATCTACACATAAAGTCATAAACCATAGCTACAATCTAGCAATAAAGCTTCACAAGTCACACTACACCTCAAGGAATCACATTATAGACATAATAATACTTGTTAAATGTATCAAGACTACTGGACTACTCATCAATGTGGTGTAATGCAAATTAGCAAAAGAATTAAATAACTTTTGTTAAGTTTCTAAATTTATATAAACTTATGTACATTTTATGCTTTATAGTTTGACATAATTTCTCTTGTGATATTTTGTTCAAATTATTTTGCAAGACATTTGTACAATGCATCCTTAAACCAATATAGTGTTTTCAGTAAATGTCTCACACAGAACTGGGTTGTATTAGCCTTGTCCACACACAGGTAACCAATGAACCAGTGGAATAATTCAGTTCAGTCTTTGTTCAGCTCATGTGTTAACAAATGATCATATTTGATGAAATCACTTGTTCTTAGATTTTGTTGAAATCTTGTTTTACAAAACTGTTTCACTAGGAAGTAAAAATGTTATAAACATTTAATTTTGATAAACTCTTAAATGAAGTTGCAAGCTTTAGTGCTGAAACAAACTTTTAGATGCTTTGACAATATATTCATAGGACCTGCTTATTCATTGAAATTCAATGTTTTTTTTTTAATCATTACAAAAGTTTTATTGTATTGTAACTAACTAAGACATTACACAAATTCTTATGATGTGCACTCTCTTTACTATTGATACTATTACAGATTGTATTTTATTTTACATTTGATTTAAAATGTATATAAGAAAAAGAGGAGTGTTTTTAATTAACCTAAAAAATTTTATGAAACAAAAGTAAGGTTTTTTTTTCTCATAAAGGTGTACATGCAATGTTTTTTTTTAACATGTCAGATTTTTGTTTGTTTTGTTTTTTTTGACTGTGTAGAATGAGTGAGCATCTGCTCAACACCACTAATGACCTTCTTAACCATCTGGCCACTACAGCCACATGCTGTGCTGCTGATGATGAGGAAGTTGTGACTGAGGTGGATGATCCATCAAGGTCTGAGCCTGTTCTAAAAATTATAAACAGACTCAATATATTATATCTCCAAGAGTAGATTAAATAGCTATTTTTAGTTCAGTTTTAGATTAGTTTTCTTTTTCTGTATGGCATATTTTTGTTGTGGTTAGTCACACCTTGTTAATCCTTGACTGTTTTGTTTGTGCGCTCACTTACATCGTCTTGCACATTATGATGTTTAGTTTATTGATGCAAATCTCAGAATCCTTGTAATGTGGCTACCAAATATTATTATGCTACTAGCTTCCAACATGACAACAATTTTCATAAAGGCTTCTGAACTCTTGAGACCTTAAACATTGACATGGAGATTCTAGTCTTCATTATTTTATGTATTCATTTAGCTTCTAAAACTACTCTGCCATTGTATGTCTTTTTTATTTTACACCTACTAGATAATTGAGGTAATGTTTAGTATCTGTGTTAAATGTGTTTTTTTTTCTTTTGGTTGATCAATATAGAAATATTTGTGATATATTGTAGCATGTGCCAAATATTTCATACATTCTATGCTATTTTTCCCATACTTGATTAATTGTTGATAATTTTTTTTTTAGAACTTTGCATGAATATTTATGAACTTAATATATATGTGTACTAATGCTTTTTATATTCAAAAAGGTGCTGTATTTATAATTTTTATTTAAACTTTTAGTGTTTAAATTTTTTATTTAATTTCCCAGTAGTTTAAATGTATTGCTTCTTCAATTAAGATATACAAAAATAAACTAGGTATATTTCTGTTAGTATGTAGATTTTCTCCCCTTGTCTTAGTAGCATTTAAAAGAAACTTTAGCTTAGCTGGTATGTAACCGTTTGACTTTAGTAACATTTAAAAGAAACTTTAGCTTAGCAGGTATGTAATCGTTTGACTTGACTTGGTTTAAAAATAGTTCTTTTTTCCACAGAGGTCATATTACTACCCCCACTGCAGGGAATTCCGCAAATAAAGCAGCTACACATTCTAAAGTTATAGTCAGTCAGCCTACCGCTGTAACACCACAGGCATCTCATGCAGAAAGACAAATTGCAACATCTTCACTTAGGTCTGGTAACAAAGGTCCAAACTCAGATCTACGTAAAGGACCAGACAGCACTTTACTCACGTAAGCAAACATTACATTCTTTAACTCTTTCTATTCAGAGTGACTTTTCCATGATTGATACATTAAAACTAATTCTCTCCCCCCCCCCCCCCCCCCCCCCCCCCCCCCCCCCCCCCGTAAATGACTTTTATAGCTTACAATTGTAGTTTTGAATAGTTTCTCTTTGTTAAACATCCCGATTTCTAATTACACAATCCTAAATTAAAATTTGTTTCTATAACAATTAATTTGTTTTATATACAAATGTAACAAAGAACATTCATTTTCCTATAATTGTATATAATTATAAGATTTTATGATGACAAACAAAAAAGTTATTGAAGTTTAATGGTAACATGATAGTGCACTATGTAGTGAATAAATTCCACCAGAACAAGGAAACTATTTCAGGAGAGAAAGAGTTAAAGAGCTGCTTTGATTAAATAGAAGTTAAACTTTCAATTTATGAGTGGATTTGTCTGAGCATAACATGAAGCAACTACTTTCATTCCTAGAGCTAAGAGTAGAGAGTCAAGTCTCTTTCAACTTGTATGGGATGGACTCTTATTATTCTAGAAAGTATTGGCACTCAGAACATTTTTTTGCTTTATTGTGTGAATGTGTGGGCTAAAAAAAATGAGGAAAATCAATCTCTTTTAAATTCTATATTTTATGATGACCATGTCACCTTTGTAAAAACAGCTGACATAAAAATGTGACCTACTGGATTGGAATCCCAGTCACTACATTTCACGTTTATACACATGACTTGTTTTTTTTAAAATAATTGTATGCATGTTTTTGTTCCCAATGCATTTTATTGTGTAGATTAATCATTAATAATGGATATTTCCTTTTAACTTCAGTTCAGATTATACTCACGTTAATGGCCCAAATGTAAGCCTCAGGTCAGGACCAGATAAGAGCCGACTGTTGGGGCCAAAAGGTGCCCATGGTCCAGACATGTCTCTTCGATGCGGCCCACAGTCATCTTTGCTTCTAAAACATCACAAACTTTCAAGTTCGTTACCCCATGTTGCCTCTTTAACTATGGCTACCCATATCTAATTAAGTGTGATAGTCATTGGAGTGCAGTTAGCAGAAACTTAAAGTCTGTGTTTGAACATGTGAATGTGCTAAATCTTCTGGCTTGAAATTATTGAAGTTAAACAATTTTTTCTATTTTGTTCACCACCTAGAAAGTTTTATCAAGCATTGAAATGTTTCTGTACTTAGCTTTTAAAAGTATCCAAATTTATGGTGTAACTTGTAATCTCATGTATTGTTTTTTAAATATTCTTTTACATTTCAAGTAGGTGTTGCTTATGAACATTTGACTATTTTTGTTGTTGTCTTGTTAACTGTCGTCAGAATGTTTTATCTTCACTTGGGCAGCCATTTTGAACGAACTTTTTTTTTTTTAAATATTGGCCTTAATATTAGTCAAATATTTTATGGACATTGTGCTTTAAACCTTTGTAAGACTTAATCATAATTTGTATCTTATTACAACAATAGTTAATATTCAGTATTAGCTCAACTTTTTTTTTTTTCAATTGTCTTTTAAAAAAAATGTTTTTCACACTTACTGTTGTCATTACAAGATTTTAGCATATCATTATTGCAAGTAAAATCCTATTATCTGCAGAGTATCTTTGAAGCCATACCAGTATCTAATTTTTATGGTCATTGGCATTTTCTTGGTGTTTTATTATAAAAGTTGCTTGCTATATACATCAGTGTTGTCTCTTTTCAGAAAAGATTTCGTTGGACTTATTGGTGTTTGACCTTTCATGAGTCATAATTTTTTTTTTCTACATCTGAAAATATGAATAATTTTGTCCATATTTACATATAATGTGTACTTAACCGTATGATATTTTATATCCATGTGCAATGTAATATTTTTCAACATATTTAAATATCTTTGTTGAATGGTTTCATGTTTAAATTAATATTTTTTTTCTCAAGCTATTAAAGAATAACATGCCATTAAGCAATATAATTTCTGTTTTAGATTATGTCTTAAAGTCTGTAAAATGTTTGTGAATAGAACATTATAGCTGTTTAATGTACTTTTTCTAAAAGCTTTGAACGAATAGTTTTTTTTTTGGACATCTATTGATGTGTGTTCATTTTTTTTCTTACTTTTGTATAATAATAAAAAAATACAGAAGAAAAACAATAAAGCTTTTTTTTTTAAAAATATTTTTTATTCAACACAAAAATGGGTTAAACAGCAATGCATCAATTAATAATAAGAACAAAATGTGTGTACATTCCCAAGTTTCACTAGCTCAACAATGGCTGCTCATACAACTATCATGCTCATTCACAGACCAATACATACATACTTTTTCTAATGTCCAACTTCATGCTCTAATAACAACATATTAGGAATACCATTTGTGATAGGAAATATGCGACCAGATTCTGGACAAACCAGTTCACCCTCAATGACTTCCACCTGAAATGCACAGTAGAGTATAGTTGGTTAGTTGTCTTATTAAACAGTGTTTTAAACATTTAAAACTCCAAAGCTAGAGGTTCTCAATAGAAAAAAACAACAACTTAAAACAGAAGATTTAGGCCAAGTGCAGTACTTCACAGACCAGTGAAATGCATATTTTGCCACTACACTAATTTTTTTTTTTTTAACAGTAACAAATATGTGTTATTAAATATCTTGAACATGAATTAGCATAGAACTGACTAAGGATCTTTTTTTTTTTTAATGGCATGTAATTTTGAAGCCTGTTTTTAGAAGAAAAAAATTTTGTATCCTAATAACTTGGGTAAAGGTTTATAGATATAAGTATTGGTTCAACGGTGAGACCTTTTAAATCACGTGACTAATTGTGCATGAATCAATAGCAATGACAAAAAAATTCACACCCTGACCTGCATTAATTGACTCTTTTATCCATGTTAATTAATTCTATGTTTAAAATTGCTTCATGGATACCAGTGAATCTGCTGATAGTTACCCATGTGAACCATTTTTATTAATTTTTTGCATCTTAGTTTTTATATAAATTTGGGACATTTTATCCTCCATGTATTTGAGAAAGTAGATGAAACTACTCAATAGTTTTTGTTTTATATACTCCTGATCTATCACCACATCCCTTAAACTATCCTACATATCTACATCAAATTCCGTACACAGGTTTTTTTAACCTTCTAGGTGCTCATTAAGAATGCTTTTTGACAGATATGCAACCTGACTGCCGCAACTAGCGAAAAACCACAAGATCTATCACCACATCCCTTAAACTATCCTACATATCTACATCAAATTCCGTACACAGGTTTTTTTAACCTTCTAGGTGCTCATTAAGAATGCTTTTTGACAGATATGCAACCTGACTGCCGCAACTAGCGAAAAACCACAAGATCTATCGAACATATGTATTTTATGTCTGTTATTTCCCCCAAAAGGCTGCAGTCTATCTAGAATCTTTTCTTTTTTTGGCAAGATAGAAAGAGAGAAAAATAGAGCAAGTAATGGTACTTTGTAACACTGTCAAAAAAACAAACAAGTAAATTCTAATAGCATTGAAAAGATAAATTTAGATCTAATTTCATTTTGCTACATTCAAAAGTGGTAAAAAAATGATTACAATATTTAGAGAGAAAAAAATACCCAGAGAAATGGAAATGTGTACGAAGGACTAACTTTTTGTTGTTGGCAGGGGATGGGGTGGAGGGAGGTATTTTATAAGTAAAAGTGCTATAAAATTAATGGGCCAAAATGTGAGAGCCTCATGTGTCGGGGGCGCATTATGAAGTGGGTCATTCCAAATCAAGAAAAAAATCTATGTGGGAGAAATTACAATGCGCTGGTAAAAAAAAATATGGGGTTCCATAGAAAGAGAGAGCGGGCCATGAAATTTCATTGTAACAGTCACACTAATTCACCAGCTAAAAAGTATGTTTGTTTGATCGTTAAAATGAGGTCTATTTATCAAAAATTAAAAAAGAAAAAAAAGGGGGTGTTTCGGCCATAAAAAACAACATGAAGCCTACGAACAAATCAACGGGTGTAGCTGGTGTGTACTGCTAGTCTTTATATGATCTTAAAAAACAAAGTGATATTTTAATGAACTTCATTTTAAGCCGCAGGTCAGATTGTCTATTTTTATTCCACAAGAACATTTTCAAACATGACAATGGCTATGGTTATTGATTTGACACTGGTATCATTCCATTTTTACCCTAAATATAAATACAAACCTGTAATAAGACATTGTGTATTTTTTTTAGCAGTTCTTCATCCTGTTCAATATTTTCACCCAACGCTGAAGGAAGATCTTCACCATGACCAGTCTAAGAGCAAGCAAAAGTTTCATTATAGAAATTTGTCATTATTTTGAATTTACCCTAGAATCATCTAGCGAAAATAATTTTTGTAAAATTCAGTAGATTAAATGATACAATTAGTTTTCGAAACATATTCTTCCAGTCAAAAAGTTCATTTGCTGGCAAATAATTTTTGATCAAAGTATTAAGTAGTATAAAAAAGATAATTTAAGAATTAAATTTAAACCAAGACAGGAGTAAAAAGTCTGACCTCTGTGGCTGCCTGCTGTAAAGCTGGCCAATCAACTTTGGTAAGTGTTCTGACTATGAAGTTAGGATTGTAGTCAACTTCTTTTATTTCAACTTTCTTGGGCTGTGAAAATAATAAGACATTGTCTTCCAATAACATAAAACCCAAAATGACAAAATTTTTTATATCAAATGTTTTGTTTAATGTTTTATATGTTTCGGATGTTCCTTCAGATAGTTTACTTCCTAGTCCAAACCTCCTGCAGGACGATGAGGGATGGGAGCGGGCAGGGTTTGAACCCGGGACCATCTATAAATCCAAACGACAGTCCAGCGCACAAACCACACGACCATATGTCTTGTGTGATTACAGTTAGTTTTTTTTCATTATCGCATATCTTCAATTATTTTTTTATTTCTTTTTTTTTTTTTAACATTAAATCATTTTAATTGATTTAAAAACTTAATTGAAATGAATAGGAAGAACATAAGGTCATGAGGATAATGATAGTACATATATTGTTAGCATATCTTGGAGTTATTAATAATTGTGTAATTGATGTTCTGAATGTTATCAGCTTTCCCAACATAACACATATTTCGAGTGTTTGGTTTTTGATCATATTGTACTGTCAAGACACATTCAATGGGTGACAGCACATGGTGTGAAGACTTTAGATTTATCTCAGGCTTGATAATTGTTTTCCAAAATTGTTCAAGTAGTCTGGATGGCCACCAAAACTTTTTTTGAGTGAATAATGTCTACTTTCAAAATTTGTCAATACTGGTACTAAATTTGATTTTAATCAGATTCTAATACTAGTCACTATTAGATTATTATTAGCTTTTTTAGAATATTTACATGGGTTTGATATATATTATAAAATAATGCCTAACCTGTGACCTTAGATATGTATCAAAGATTAGATTCTTTGTCACATAAGAAGTTGCAAAGGGAAATGATTGTCTCTAAAGACTTAAAATGCCACAAACTGATGGGAACTCATCTAGCAGTAGAACTCATCTCTAGCAGTGGAACTCATCTAGCAGTAGAACTCATCTCTAGCAGTGGAACTCATCTCTAGCAGTGGAACTCATCTCTAGCAGTGGAACTCATCTAGCAGTGGAACTCATCTCTAGCAGTGGAACTCATCTAGCAGTAGAACTCATCTAGCAGTAGAACTCATCTCTAGCAGTGGAACTCATCTAGCAGTAGAACTCATCTCTAGGAGTGGAGCTCATCTAACAGTAGAACTCATCTCTAGCAGTGGAACTCATCTCTAGCAGTGGAGCTCATCTCTAGCAGTGGAACTCATCTCTAGCAGTGGAACTCATCTCTAGCAGTGGAACTCATCTCGAGCAGTGGAACTATCTCTAGCAGTGGAACTCATCTCTAGCAGTGGAACTCATCTCTAGCAGTGGAACTATCTCTAGCAGTAGAACTCATCTAGCAGTAGAACTCATCTCTAGCAGTGGAACTCATCTAGCAGTAGAACTCATCTCTAGCAGTAGAACTCATCTCTAGCAGTGGAACTATCTCTAGCAATTGAACTCATCTAGCAGTGTGACCTATAACTAAGTCTAGGGTTTAAAAACAACAACACTATTACATAATCTTTGTGCAAAGGAGTTCATTGACAGAGCTTCCTTGTAGGTTAGAAACCCAAAGAGGAAAACAACTCAAAAGGGACATAAATTAGGGGATTTTACTTTGTTGTAGCTTTTAATGCACTTCCAATACAATGAAGCCTCAAGCATTGCTATAAAAAAAAAAAAAAAAAGAAAGAAACTTACCACTATTTTCAATGGAAATCCTTTTGTAACACCTTTAATAATATTAGAAGTGAGCATGTTGTGTGTGAGCAGCTTCATTTTGAATGACTTGATTGAAACAAAGAAAACAATATTAAGTAAATGAAATCATTCAATGATACTATTTATAGGCAATTAATGATGACTACAAAGAGGAACATCACAATGACATTTTAGTTTTCTCTTGTAAGAAAGAAAATAATTCTTGATCAATTTTCCTAAGCAACTTAGAACAAGTTCTCACTGAAGGTTTTTACAACTTTTTATTATATGACTTTTTTGTTTACATTTGATTTTATTTATCATTTCTATTTAAAAAATAATTATTTTTTACTTATATTTTACTGTAACTAGAGTAAAGCTGCCATATCGAACGAGTTAAGCTGAATCGTGGCGATTTTTCACATTTGAATTATCAAAGCTCTGTATTGGCAAGACCTAGAAAAAAATGAAACCATCTAAAAACTCTCGTCATCCATTGGTCTATAAAATTAAATCTGTTGCACAGTTTCAGCTTAGGTAGTTAAAATAAAATCTGATGTCAAAGAGGGATGGAGTAGGTATGACTTATGTAAACTTCATCAGACAAATTTTTTTCCCCGACTATAACATCGAACACCTTGTAAACCATTTCAGACAATATGCATTTAAAAAATGTTT